AAAAAAAAAAGATTACTATACCGATATAAATATAAAGTACGAATTTATATTGATAATTTTTTAACTACATAATGTTAAGTGAGGCTAACAGCTAGAAAGATTTATAGACACTGATGATGTGAAAAACTTGGAGACCCAGGTAACAGTAACCCTTATGACCTCCAGAGGATGATGTCAGAAATATGGATAGAAAGGAGAGGTCATGTCGGACATAAATCACTATGAATTTGAGATGATCAGTCAATTCCATAAACTGCATAACCAGGAAAAGTATAAGTAGAGGGAGGAGGAAGCCAGAATTCGCAAACACAAGTCAAATATGGAGGAACATAACAGTTTTAATTCAGGGTCGTGAGGTCGTGACTCTGAGCATCCAATGGAAGCCATATATGAACATTACCATAATTTAGTAACATTACCATTACGTGTCTGTAAAAGAGAATGGATGTTTTCAAGAGCCTAATCAGTATCATGATGGTGCTTTTTGAGCTGCCAAGAAAGGATCTTAGTATGCTAAAAACATTTGGATGCTTGAACAAGGTTATTTACCACTTCTCTAATGAAAGTCACAAAACTGAAAAAAAAAGGAATCTGTATAGCTTAAGTTTAACAGCAATCAAACCACATCATTAATAACCAGCACCTGAACCATGCATAAATTTCCAGCTAGAGCTTGGAATTGTGAACAGAAGTCAAAACGTCGTAATTAATGAAAAAAATTAATGAAATGAAATTTCAAAATCACAGTACAATTTTTTTGGTATACAATAAATAAATATTAACTTTTTCACTACTTTAAATACGAAATTTGATTTATAATAAATTAAAATATTTCATGCTGCTAAAAACAGAAAATTATATTTTCAGACTGTTAAAGAAGGCTTAATAGTTACCTTTATATTCACAATAATTATATTGTGTTATTAATATTAGGTAAAACTGCAATAATCTCAGAAACGCAACATCCAGAGGGCTTACAAAAGATTCAACAGCTGGAGTCGTACACACGGTAGGCCTTATTGATGAATAATATATATTTTATAAGACTGCAACAACAAATATGCCATCTAAACCTTTAGGGATTTTTAAGAGTAAAAAGAGTGTATGGTAATAGCATTCCAAGCACACTAAATGGATTAGATAAAGAATGTAGTGTTTAAAATATGATAGGCCTAATTACTAGTAATATTAATATCAAATTAATATCTTATGACAAGTATAATTCTATTTGTAATATTCCTAACCAGCTTTAAAAGAGTTTCACATCGTGTCAAATGTTGTTGTTATGAATAGTGTTCCGATGTGTCCGAGCCAGCCTGAACTCTGAAGAGCTCTGGATTGAGCGAAACGCGTCGTCGGCAATGGATATAACAAAAATACTATATACTAAATAGAGTCGTTTGGAAACTATTATTATACACCCTTCTAATTCATAAAAATTATAAATATAACTATAAGGGACTAATAAAGAATGTAGCGTTTACAAATGTAAGAGGCCTAATACTAATAGTAATAGTAATGTCTTTTGACAAGTGTAATTGTAGTCATTCTGTACCAGCTTGTAAATTGCTTACTCACCATAACATTTAATTAACCATAAATAGTATGTATTGACTATAAATACAACAATATAGAAAAAGTAAAAACAGAATAGGTTGTTGAATATTACTGTAAACTTGGACCCCTTTCTGTGACAATTGAACAATTTGTTTTAATCAACTCAGCAGTTGGAACTAAAATGCTAGAAGTCAATTTTTTTTTCCATCAATAGTTTTATTGATACAGTAAACAGCAGTGTGTTTATTATCTTAGCTTTAGAACTAACAGTGACTTTGGGGGCATGTTTTTTTGTTGTGTTTTTTTTGCCAAGTATTTTATAGAGTTTCTAATTTAGTGTAAGACATATATATATAATACCCTTTAGATGTGAGAAAACTGTGCTTATATGTCTACTTCAGTGTTCAACTATTTTTTTTTTTATAGAAAGAAAGAAGGAAAATAAACAATTCAAATTGTTTTTCAAACTATATTAAAACTATGTATTTAAATCAAATTTGTTATGAATGTTCCTGTAATCAGAAAATATAACAGTTTCTAAAGGTGATATTTTATTTTTTTATAAATAATATAACACCAAAAAGGAAAGGGTACATGTAAAGGAAATATACTTCTTTTATGACCATAAACATTTTATTTAAGAACAAAGAATGTAAAAAAGTTTGTATCAGTAAAATTATATATATATATGTTTATTCAACAGATATACCAGACAAGAAGAAGAAAAAGTCATAACTCAAGTTCCTGTGTTTGTAAGTCAACTTCATGATGTGGAGATTAAGGAAGGACAGCGAGTTCACTTCGAGTGCCGTTTACTCCCAGTTGGGGATACAAACCTTAAAGTTGAATGGTTTCATAATGGAAAGCCTATTAAAATGGGTAAAAAGTTATTAAGTGATATGATACAGGTTCTGGGCAAATTCAACATATTATACATTATGTTTTGATGCAGTATCATTAATTGTATATATAAGTTAAAGCTTTGAACCAATCAGTTATGGAAAATTACATTATGAAATAATAGCGTGTTTATATATATATAAATATATATATAAAACCATAATTTGAAAACCAACATACACATTTGTTTGTTTTTGATATTCACACAAAGTATCTGCATTAGCTGTTCCTAATTTTGAGTTGCTTGATAAGCAACAGGGAAGGCAGCTGTAAGTTAATAACAACCACCACCGACTCTGGCTACTCATAATAACGATAAACAATAGGGAAGGCAGCTGTAAGTTAATAACAACCACCATCGGCTCTGGCTACTCATAATGATGACATTTGTTCATCACTATTTTACATATTGTAAAGTGTAGAGCATAGTTTTACAGCAACAATTACAGACCCACAGATTGTAGGAGACTTATCTGTTTTTGAAACTTTCACTTTACGTAAGTCCGATGACTTGAATGTTGAGTAACACATCTAAGCATCGTACACTTACTAGCATACACTTTTGTGGAACCTTAAAAAAAGAAGTCATAGAGTTGAGCATGCCAGAGTGCAATTTAAACTTTTATGTTATTACTGGCCTCAATGGTATATAGAATATAAACAACACAAATCTGGAGCTTTCTCATACAGTGCACTAAATATTTCATTACAATGTGTTTGTTTTCTATGTGTCTTTATCCTGTTAATGTTTGTTTTCTGTGTGTGTCTGTTTTCTGAGTGTTTATGTTTTCTAATGTGTCTTTTGTTCTGTGTATGTATGTTTTTTACATTTGGCTATTTTCAATGTATGTTTTCTACTTTTTCCTATTTTCAATATGCATGCATGTTTTTGTTTTTTACGTGTGCCTGTTTTCAATATGTGTTTGTTTTCTTTGTGTTTCCATTTTCTACATATGTCTATTTTTAACATGTTTCATTTTTCTGCATGTGTCTATTTTCAGTATGTGTTTGTTTTCTATGTATGTCTACTTTTATACCATAGTTGGTAGAATACAATGTAGCTTTTATTATGCACCTTTCATATTTACACACATGTATCCAGTGAAACTAATATTCTTATTTAGAAAAGTTATTATGAAAACATGATATGGAAAGTTGTAGAGATAGAAATATAATTATGTTCACATTTTATGGGATAATTTTTGGGTTGATCAGCTTTTATTCATAAGGAAGAAGCAAACTGGATTTATCAAACTTTGAAGCAATAGTAAAAGATTTGTAAAATTAATGATGAGATAAATAAAGTGGATGAATAATCATTATTTATTCAAAGAAATGTTTTTTAATAGAAAATATTCCGTTTTTTCCAAGTTATAATGAAATGGATTTTTTTGAGATTGAGAAAATCCTATTGCAAATATCTTGAAATAAAAATTGTTTTTCATTTCAGGTACACGCTTTATTGAGACCCTTAGTTTTGGTTTTGTGGCACTTGACATTATGTACGCTTATCCTGAGGATGCAGGAACATACATGTGTAGGGCAACAAATGCCCTTGGAGAAGCTGTCACATCAGCCCAGTTAAGGTGTTACGGTAAGTTGTTTGATAAAACTAGTTGTACTTTTGCAAAATAAAATACTGTATATTCCTAACTCAGTAGTAAGTCTGCAGGTTGTGATGCTAAAGATCGGGTTTCAATACGTATGGTTTGCAGAGCACAAATATCCCATTGAGTAGTTTGTGATTAACAACAAACAAATAAAAAAAAGTATATTCTGAGACTCATCACCTTTAAAATTTGAACTGTAGAAACTTAGCCTTTATGAACCAGTTATATTTAGAATGATATATTGTGACATTATTCTATGTGCTGTTGATAAATATTGTTACATCTCCGTTTGTTAATTAACTTTCCGTAACTTTACTTAATAAAACTGGTTTATTCTTTCCGAATACAACTTTATCGATACACTGAACTTCAACAATCGCGCTAAACAAAAACCATAACAACGAACGTCAATAATACTTCTGACCGCAGATCAATTACTCACTATCTACACACACATTACGTTACCTTCTTTTATATACCAGCCTACCCTATATCTAGTAAGAACTAGAACATTTGCCAAAGTACAGGATAATTCTAGAAAGTAGAGAGCGTGAGAATCACATGATCTTGATGACGCAACAATATGTTCAGAAACTTGAAATGAAAGAGAAGCTAGGGTTATTGTAATTAGAAGTATCTATACACAGTTTAGATATTCTAGATATAAGTATTTTTTTATTTCTGTCAGCATTTTGTATTGTCAGTTTATTTTTCATCTTGTCTGTATTTAGAGATGAATGGCAGCACTATGAGATTATGAAAATTTTAAGAATATTCCTTGAATATACTCTCATCATCTCTGTATTGTTCATAATTAAATCAAGGTTTTCTGTAAGACAGAAAAGTTTGTACAGTCAGACTTATGGGCTTTTGTACAACAAGTATACATTTGAGATACTGACAATATTTTGCAAAATATTGCTTCATATAATGTGTACGTGTTTCTAATATTTTCAAACCTAGCACTTCATATTACAAATCATTTTTATTAAACTCATAGGTATTAAAGAAAAAGAGAATGATGGTCTAAGTTGGCTCAGTGGTCCCTTGGAAAAGAAATATTGTACTTGCTTTAATGAAAAAGGGAAGAGGAAAAGTATTAAAAGAATCGACCCGCTGTCTGAATTAATAACAATGCAAACTTCCTTTTTTTTTCAGAAAAGGATAAATTGATCCTTGACTCCCAACAACCAGATAGTCTGCAGAAGATTCAACAATTAGAAGACAGCAGTCGCTATCATAAGACTACTACAGTAGAAGAAGCCATTTCACAATCTCCAGTTTTTGTACAGCCTATGAGAAACTTGCAACTCCAAGAAAACCAAAGTGCTCATTTTGAGTGTCGTCTTATACCTATTGGAGATCCCAAGTTGAAGGTGGAATGGTTTTTTAATGGTGTGGCTCTTATGCAAGGTAAATATAATTATTATATTTTCAGTTTAATTGCAATACCAATGTATATATATAATTTATGCTGAGGATTTATGAATATTTCTTAACACAATATAACATTTTCAAGCCTTTTACAACATAGATATAAGAATATAAAGTCTACGCCTAACAGCGGAAACCTTGCTTCTTACAAAAATAATATAACATTTAAGGATAACAAAGGACCTATTAGTCCATCTAGGCTGTCCAGTCCACTACATTCAAATATTAAAAACAGAAACAAAAAGGAATTCGCAGCCAACCCTTATCATTCAGATCTTTATCAAGCCTTCCCTTAAACTTCTTTGAATTTACTACTTCTACCACATCTGAAGGCAACCGATTCTAAAGGCAAAATAAAACTGTCTACTTTAAAGATGACCCGTATACTGTCAAAATTTATATTTGTATCCCCTAGTCTTAACCATTAAGTATGAAAAAAGATGATGCATCAACACTATTATTTGCCTCAACAATCTTAAACACCTCAGTCAGATCGCTCCTAACTCATCTTTTCTCTAAAACTGTTTTATAGATATTAACCTGTTTTCAAATGACAACCTTTCCATCCTAATAGCCCTTCTCCGCACATTTTCTAACAATTCAATGTCCTTTCTAATGTAAGGCATCTAAGACTGAACACAATACTCCAAATATGTTCTAACTAGTGACCTATACAGTGAAGTTATAACCTTTAAATGGTGAGTATAATATTCATAGTAATTTGTACAAATTGAAACAACTCCTCCAGTTTCTTATTATGCATTTGTGTCTGTGTGCTTTTATTTCTAATTTGGCCAAGTGTTAATTGATGTTTGAGTTATATGTTTAGTTAAATTTCTTCATATTTTAAAATTTTCATATGTATTATTGGAGATCAGTTTTTAATAATTCAGTCCTCAAGCCCCATTATTTTACTGTATTAATAAATAATTGACAAGTGTTTAGTCATATTAAGATTGTTTTCTATTTTTTGCAGCCACTCGTGTCACCACTATGCATGACTTTGGATATGCTGCTCTAGATCTGGCCTATGTGAAACCTGAAGACAGTGGTACATATTCGTGTAAGGCAACAAATGAACTTGGACAAGCTGTTTGTTCTGCCACTTTGACCGTCAAAGGTAGGTTACCACATCTAAAAGTCTGTAATTGTAAATTTAAGGTTTGTTACTGTATTTTATCATACCAGAAGTGTCATATTGATGCAAGACTAGTTGTAGTTTTGCATTTGTTTTTATTATTTTACTCTTACTTGAGAACTGAATAGATAGAATAGATGTTACTATATAGGTGTTACTATATATTCAGATATGCTTATGAACTATAGAATGAAAATGGAAAGTGAAACTGAAAAAAACTCAATGGGAATTGTAATGGTATTTATATTGTGACTTTAAATTTCCATGTGGTAGTTTTTTTTTTTATAAATTATGAAGCATATTTTTTTATAAAAGAATATTTATAGAATACTCATTTTAGTTCTAACACAGGAATATTGTTCATTTCTGGTTTATCTCTTTGATGTTTCACTATTTCATATTAAAAATATTGGCCTTCATCTTAACCATTATAATGAGTTTTCATATTCATTTTTGGCTCAGAAAATGTGTTAATTGTACATTATTTTGGCTAGAAACTTAACTGTTTTAATGTTTCATTAATTACGATCTATATTTATTTTTCATCATTAGATATACAGCTTGGTTTTCATTGTGTTTATAGCATATGGATACTTTAAGATTGTTCAAACCCAAGTAACTACAGAAGTAATAATATTGTGTCTACAGGATCAAGTAACTTGCTGCTTGAATCTCAACAACCTGATAGCCTTCACCAGATTCAATACCTTGAGGACTCAACTAGACACCAGAGGGAGGTTACGGAAGAAATGGTAATCACTAGTAGACCAGTCTTTGTTACTCCATTGAGAGGACCCACTAAGTTGACAGAAGGTCAGAACAGTCATCTTGAGTGCAAAATTGAACCATATCCAGATCCTACAATGAAGATTGAATGGTTTTACAATGGTCAGATCTTAAAAACAGGTAACGTAAAAGGTTCCACTAAATAATCATTGAAAACAATGCAAAAACGTCATAACATACACATTGTTTCAGTAGTCCATTACCTGATAACAAGTGGTAATATATAACTAATAATTATTCAGTAAATTAAGCTAATACTGTTGTATTACATGCTTGTTTATATTCACAAAGTAAGTAAACTACAAATCTGACTTATATAGTGATGTAAAAAATAAGTAATTAAGTGTTTATTAATTCATAGATTATTTTAACAATTTACTGTTTTACTGTAATTAATGTGTAAAGATGTGTAATAAACACAGTTTTTACTCATGAAATTGTTTAATTTTTTTATCATAAAACACACAGTTAAACATTGGAGATGGAATATTAAATGGTTACCCTCTGGTAATATTCTCTTAGCTCATCGCTTCCGCACAGTGTATGACTTTGGACACGTGGCCCTAGACATCTTTTCAGTTAATGCTGAAGATTCAGGTGAATACATGGTCAAGGCAACAAACTGTTTGGGCACCTCTACCTCATCCGTCGTTATTCAAGTAACAGGTAAAAGAAAACATAAACATTAATTTGTTTGAAAAAGGTCTCTATTGTAATTATTAGGTTATTGGTCACAAAATTAAGGCATTTTCATGTGTTTTCTTTATGTGGCTTGGTTGATGTAAGTTTGTATGATATATCATGTGGCTTGGTTGATGTAAGTTTGTATGATATATCATGTGGCTTGGTTGATGTAAGTTTGTATGATATATCATGTGGCTTGGTTGATGTAAGTTTGTATGATATATCAACATATCGCTATATGTAAACAAAGTACAGATTTGTTTTTGTTTTTAGACAACTTATGTATTTTATATTTCTTGAAAATTATTCCATTACATATTTGTCATTCCTGTGTAATTTTATTCCACTCATTTTGTAGCCAAAAGTGGATTGATTTTAGAATCACAGCAGCCTGACAGTCTGCAGCAAATCCAATATCTGGAAGATGAAAGTCGCTTCCGCAAAACCACAGTTGAAGAAGTCGTATATGATCAACGTCCAGCATTTGGACGGCTGCTTCATGACTTGGAAAACCTGGTTGAAGGACAGAGAGCTCACCTTGAAGCTACACTGACTCCAGTTAATGATCCAAACTTAAAGATTGAATGGTTCTTCAATGGCTATCCGATTCAACAAGGTCAATAATAGTGACTACAATAGAGAAAAATAGTATTTTATTTTCTGTTATCTCCTTTGTTTCTTTTATTTTATTTATATGAATAAATTAGCATTTCATTTGTTAGTTTACGTACTTTTATTCCAGAAAATATGAAAGAAAATTAAACTGGACTTAAGAAAGAAGACATACATAATTATTTGGGAAATAATTTATTGAAGGTTTCACTCTTTAGGTCATCGCTTTAAAACGACATGTGACTTTGGATATGTAGCCCTGGATATCCTGTATGTCTTGCCAGAGGACACTGGTACTTACATTTGTAAAGCCGTAAACAAAGTTGGTGAAGCTATAACCACTTGCTCACTAAGAGTTCAGAGTAAGAGACATAGTATTAGATTCCTTTACCTTTCATTATTTTTAAACAGGACACTAGTGATTCTTATTGGTTTGAATAAAAACTTTTGTTAATCAGCAGTTAAAAATCTGTTTAGGACTCACACTTTGATTAAAAGCTCCGTATGCAGAAAAAATTAGCCATACAAATAAAAAAAATGTAACAGTATTTCAGTTTGAAAAAATTGGAATCTGAAAAATCATGTGCCTTGTAATCAAGTTTTAGATTTTGCAAAGGATGTTTCTGACTGCCTGTTTTGTATGTGCATTTGTGTTATAAATAAATGTATTTTTAAAATATCATTAAATATTTTTTTATTTAAAAACCATATTGAATTTGAACTTGAGTATAACAATTTAACTGGAGTGAAGTTTAATAGGAAAGATTTAAAACTGCCCTTAATTATGATATTGATATGAAATTGCTTGTTCTTGTTTACAGAAAAATAATGGATCATGTTAACAAAACAGACTTGTTATATAAAAGTAACCATGTACTTTATGATGTGTATATTATTATACTTAAAATATGGCCAATATCTATATACTTTACACGTAATAAGGATAAATTATGAACTTATCATCATTAAAAATTTGTGTATGTTGTTGAATTTCTTATATGACTGATACCATATTTTTTCTTGTTCCGTCCTTCTCTTGTATTTTACAGGCAAGAGTGGAATAATCTTGGATACACTACATGAAGAAGGCTTGGAGAAAATTCGAGAGCTTGAAACTTCCTACATCCCTAAAGCAGAAGAGCCTGTCATTCAAGTTTGTCCACCTGTATTCTTAAAACCTCTGATTAATCAAGAGAACCTGATGGAAGGGAAACCTGTTCATCTGGAATGTCGTCTTGAGCCTGTGAATGACCCTAAGTTGCAAGTTATGTGGTACATCAATGGAGTAGAAATTCAAGCAGGTGAGTTGCATTGTAGTTAACAGAATTGTTTGTTTTGGACATAATAACTATGTCGTAGATTTCACAATCACGCTTTTATACTTAGACCAGCTAAGTTATTTTCAAACACAAAAACTCAGTTACACATTTTCTTTCTTCTTCATTTTAAGGTCATCGATTCAGAACAACTCATGACTTTGGTTATGTAGCACTGGACATTCTTTATGCCAATCCAGAGGACACTGGTATATATATGTGTAAAGCAGTGAATGACCTGGGAGAGGCTGTCTCAACATGCTCCATTAAAATCCAAGGTAAATAGCATTAACCTGTTGAACAGTGTTTAACGTAGAGGAGTCATATATTCATTAATTATTTGAAAATAGTAATGGATTTACAAGTGGAAGACATGGGATTTTATTTCCTGGAGGTCGGCCATAATAAATTACAAAAATGTTTACAGCTGTTTTAAGAAGATCTTTTAGAGTACAAGTAAAGGGATGTAGCAGGAAGCTATATGTGAGATGGGTAAAGATATTTCTATCCAAACTTCAGTATGTTGCTTGGCAATAATGTATTGTGAGAGATGATTTTCCAGTTCGATACCAGGAACTTGGTACACGAAGTATGAGGAAACATTGTTAATGTCATAGAGCAGTGTATGGACACTGTCTTTTCAACTTACTTCATTAAAGTGTTTGGATCTCATTTTGTAATTATCATGCACACTACGTATCATGAGGGCACATAATATATGATGGTATTAGTAGTGGGTAAATGTTGACGTAAGCATTCACTGATAACAATTTTACTAAGATCCAGTATATAGAAAAGAAAACCCATTTCTTTCTGAACACCATTTGTATTATGACACTGTTAAGCATGAAGCTGTACAGAGGACTATTTAGGCTGTGCCTGCTTAGGGGATTAAACCCCAAATTTTAGTGTTATAAGCCTTCTAGATTACTGAGCCACTATGGGGGCAAACTAGTAATTAAAATACTGAAATAAATACTTTGATGTACAACGTACAAGTTGAAGTTTCCTTTTACTACTGAGTTGTAGTGAACAGTGTTTTCATGGTAATCAATAAAATTTATTTTTTATTTGAAAAAATATTTGAGAAACTGACAAGAATCAATTTTAACAGAGTAATGATCGATTGTTCAGATGTTTGTGAGTTGACACATGTAACATTATTGTAAGAGGGACATAACTGCTTATTTCAATAGAAATTTATAATCTAATAGTATGTTATTATTATAAACATAAATAATGACCTATATTTCCACAATGTAGCTTTATTAGCTCAATATTTCGCTCTTACGCCTCCATCAGGAGCTATAAATTTTCTACCAGTTCACTAATCCAGTTCAATCTGTGAACTGGTAAGAAATCGATAGCTCCTGATGAAGCTGTAATAGTGAAATATTGAGCTAATAAAGCTACATTCTGGAGATATAGGTCATTATTTTATCTACGTTTACAAAAATGTCTCATAATAAACTCCAGTTTGCGTTAAACAAAGTCAAGAATAATAGTATGTTATTATTATTTAATACCATAAAGTGGTGGATATTTTATTAAAACATTTTAGTTTCAAGCTTATCCACCTATTCTGTTTTTAAGTAACAAATAAGCTAAATAATCTGAACACTGAGTACAGCTACTCTAGATATTTTTTACTTGATGGAAGGTGTAGACAGAAGAGAGTATACTTGAAAGTCGTTGTTAATAGACTGTATCTGTTTAGGAAGTTTTTGGATGACATTAGCAGCTTGAAATGTTATCCAAAACTTCTTAGACATTTGTAAAATCTATTTAAAGTAGCTTCTAGACATTTAAGAGAATCATTAAATAAAATAAATATTATCTCATGTTCAGGTCGGAGAAATGTGTATTTTGAAACTCAACATCCTGAAGGACTGGAAAAGATCAGAGAACTGGAATGTCAGCCCAAGTACCAGTCAGTGGAAGTGGAAGAAAGGCCAGTTTCTAAGCCATACTTTACACTTGAATTAAAAGGAATTACAGAACTTATTGAAGGCCAGACGGGTCACTTGGAATGTCGAGTTGAGCCAGCCCATGATTCAAATCTCCATGTGGAAATTTTACATAATGGCAAACCCCTAGATGCTGGTGAGCATGTGTTTGTTATCATGAACATTTTTTAAACTTAAATATATTGTGATGTCTCTCTGTTGATTGTAACCATATGTGTTTTCTCTTTCAACAAGCCAAGTACAATTATAATTTAGTTTTTACGGTTTCATGTCATGTTGGTCACAGTTATAATTTCGAAAGTTCTGACCTTATAGACAGGAAACTCTCCAGTCAGATACTAGATTGACAATGATACTAAGTGTTGAGATACAGAAATCGAATGAACATTTTTATTATCAGTTTAACCTTCTTGCTTTGGGCAGGTCAGAGAGTTGCATTCAAGATTTAATTAAACTACTGTATTATCACTTTATATGGATAAATTTGGCATCCAAACATAGTTAATAAATCAACTTTTAATATAAGTTTTAAGTTCTTAATCTTATAAGGAAATATTTAAAAAATCCTCAATCTCCCCTAGTATGAGAATTGTAACATTTGCTTTCTAGGTCTTCCCTGTTCTCTAATTTATTTACCACCCCTCTGAGAAGTATATAATTTAATGTAAATTACTCATCATAATATACAAAGTGTAAGTTTTATAGCCTTGAATCTTATTTGTTAATGGAGCCATAAACTAGAAAATTAGACCCATTGCCATGCCCATCTGACACATCCTCTCTTTCATAAGTTGCCAATAGTTCTCTCTGATGTTTTATACTGTGTTATTTATAACCAATAGAAAGCCAAAGTTTTAACCTATCAAATGACATATTATCTTACATTGTTATTTATGCTTGTGAGAAGCCTGTGCATTACATAATTCGAAAGGGTAACATGAGCTACACATTTGCCAAGAGATTTACAACTTGTGTAGAGGGATTGTTAGTTAGACATGGTCCAAAGAGCAATAAAACGAAAAATTTAAAATGTATACAAGCTTTAAGCTATTTAGAATAAACAGTTATAGTTTTCTGTTATGATTTGCAGTCATTCTAGAAAGAAAAACGGGGAATTTAGGTTTATTTCATACTTTTTATGGTGGTTATGAGGTTGGCTAAATTGACCAAATGCGTATAGAGTAGAGAAAATAACATAAAGTGTTTGTTATTTATTTAGGAGATTGTGAAAATGAAATATGACAATTTTCAGATGAAGAAAAGTATTTCTAATCTTAACATGAAAATCACTTTGCACTTCGTGGACAAATGTTTCGGTAAGATTATTATAAAATCTGATTTTTTGTGTACAAAATACTTGTAATGCTTCCTGAAAGGTTGCCAAATTTCATGAAGATACAAAACATATTAAAGGTTATATGATGAAAATTTATGGTTACTTTAGGGTCATAAGGTCAGTGTAATCCACCGAGTCTGTAGCGAGAGTGTTAATGTTACCTGAATATATAAGTATTGTAGAAGGAATGTTGAATATAATTCCAAATTTATTCTGTGTATCTACATGATATGCTTTTAGTAAAATGTTAAAGCCTGTGGTACACAAAAAATCAGATGTGCTACAAAAATATTTGTATTCAAGATATACCTGTGAATTGGTGATGTCAGACTGACTCAGACTTTCACAGGTTGGTGTGCAAGGTGGTGTTCATGTGAAGAATAAGAATACGTTTGTCCAACCTGAATTGATGATGTCAGACTGACTCAGGTTGGTGTGCAAGGTGGTGTTCATGTGAAGAATAAGAATACGTTTGTCCAACCTCTATAACCTCTGAAATACATATATGTACAGTTTTTTCAGTGTCCCTGTATATTGTATCTGGTGTTTATTCTTCTCCACCATGAACTGTCAATAAATCAGCAACATAGGATGAATAGTTGGTAACTCTGACATCTATGTTGAATGACACCCTGTAATAGGTTTTGACATGCACACTTTGATCTCTGGTACTACGACATATTCGTTCAACTGTTGATCCCTGCTGTGGGTTAAGAGCAGGTAGCCTATTATTCATCTCCTCGCTTTACTTAACAACATTAAATATAGAACTAATGACAAATACTACACTCAACAACAAGTAAACGTAGAACTAATGACAAACACTACACTCAACAACAAGTAAACGTAGAACTAATGACAAACACTACACTCAACAACAAGTAAACGTAGAACGAATGACAAACACTACACTCAACAACAAGTAAATGTAGAACTAATGACAAACACTACACTCAACAACAAGTAAACGTAGAACTAATGACAAACACTACACTCAACAACAAGTAAACGTAGAACTAATGACAAACACTACACTCAACAACAAGTAAATGTAGAACTAATGACAAACACTACACTCAACAACAAGTAAACGTAGAACTAATGACAAACACTACACTCAACAACAAGTAAACGTAAAACTAATGACAAACACTACACTCAACAACAAGTAAACGTAGAACGAATGACAAACATTATGTATGTATTAAAGTATTGCTTTTGCCATTGTCACTAAACTTCAAATACTGTTCAACTCAATAATCACTGATACTGTGCCTAGATGGTCAATCCATCTAGCATACAAAATGTAACTGACGAAAGCATTAAGAACTTACTAAACACTAAGATATAAGACATAGGAGAATGCAGAGAAAAAAAACCATTACATATACTGATAGAAGAAAACTGATGCCTGTTTGGAAGGTTTTTACTGCATTTAACCAGAACATTTAATTATGTTTATTATGGAAGGAAAACTAAATAAGTGAAAAGTTTTTGAAACTAACTTAACTCATGAAAATTGCATGGCTTCAGACTGATTTAAAAATTTTAGGTAGACTCTTTCTTGCAACCCATGATGGGAAGATATAGTTTTGGGGTTTTTAGAAATCTCTCACAGTGTCCCATTTCTAGTAGGATAAATCTTCCGTTATTCTAGCTGTGTTAAGCAGTGTTTTGTACTAGCACATATCATCTTTACAGATTATTGCTAATGAAATATGTGACGGAAATATGAGGTAGACGACAATTATTCAACATATAAATTTCATGCATCTTACTGAACTCCAGGTCATCTGTCTTAATCATCTCTTATGGTTATTAATGTGTGTGAAGGTAATGTCACAAAGATAAATCATGATGCTGGACAGTCACCCATCGACTTCTTGACCGTAGTAGATAGCTGTGAAAGTTGAATTTCATGTCTGTGAATTTTGTGTCTATCCATGATTACTCATTCATTGTCACTTTTAAACAATTCATTGAACTTTCAAATGTAATGTAGTTTTAGTAAAGGCACAAAAAGTAGTATTTCTTTTTGTTTGTTTGTTTGTCTGTAGAGAATTTCACATGATCTTGTTGTCTAACCTGTAGATATGTCCGCTTGAGTACACCACGGTCAGTGATAGTTCTACGATTCCTTTAGATGAGCAACCATTCCCTGGGTTTTACTGACCCTTGTCTAGAGTAGGTTTCACTTACTGACCCTTGACAAATTATACTCACGGAAACTCCCTGTTCATCAGTCTTAAAGTATAGTTTGGAAAATGTTTTTATGGTAAGAAACAGATAGTATAAAATATTGTAAAATTGATTAATACAAATCATACCAGATTTCAGTAAATACACATGCTTTGGCCAACTGCACAGTCACCCGATTTTTCACCTTATTCCCGAAGTGTAATACGCTGACAGGTAATTAAAAATGACAAAGATGTTTCAGGATGTAGTTTAAAAAAAAAAAGAGAACACTTTTTGATTTTCTACAATTATGTTTTCTGGACTAATAGTTCATGTTTTATTTCTACTTTAAACAAAAATGGTGTTTTTTTATAGTGTTGTTTGTATATAGCGTTTATATACTTCTGTCATTCTGCTGCTCATTAGTTTTGATGGGACTTCTTAAAACTGTGCAGAATAAATAAGATGAAAATATATTTTTTTTTGTTAAACTACTTCGATGAGAATACTTTTTTAACTATGATATAAATAATTTAATACATACTACAGTAGTTTCACATTTAAATCTAAGAAATAATGCCCCCCAGTAGCTCAGTGGTGGCTTATAACACTAAAAACTGGGCTTTGATCCCTGTGGTGGGCACAGCACAGATAACCCATTGTATAACTTTGAGCTTAACAACAAAGCAGTAGAAGTAGTTGAGTAAATTCTTTTCTGTTATTTTACTTACATTTGTTATATTTGGACTATTTTTTATCATGCATATTATATATTTTTTAATCATTTTATGTGTCGTACAGGATCTCGTTTCCATGTAACATTTGACTTTGGTTATGTTGCCCTGGATATCAGACATGTATTACCGGAGGACACGGGGATGTTTACTGTTAAGGCCAAAAACAATCTTGGAGAAGCCACTAGCTCTATTAACATCAGAGTGCAAGGTAAAATATGAACCTTTTCTAAATATTACTAGTTTAGTAATTACATTACTTATTTTAAGAGAGTAACATCGGTTGCGGCCCGGCATGGCCAGGTGGTTAGGGCACTCGACTTGCAATCTGAGGGTCGCGGGTTCAGCCGTGGGGGCATTATAATGTGCCGGTCAATCCAACAATTCGTTGGTAAAAGAGTAGCCCAAGAGTTGGCAGTGGGTG